ATGCCAAAAAGGTCGGGAAGGGGATAGGGGTTTCTTCCTTCTCTACCTCCTCACCTCCGCCGCCGCTTGCGAGGTGGTCGCCGCTCGGCTCCCCGGGCGCTCCGGCGGAGGGCTGGGGAAAGGACGGGACGTGGTCGGGCTTTATCGCCGCCTTGTTGTCCGGTGCCGCCGGGTGTCTGTTGGTCGTGGGGAAGATGGATGCGGTCCTTTTCGCGGGTGACGCGGGAAAAGCCCCGTCTGCGGGGGTGGAAGGAGTGTGGGGGGTTGGCTTTTGAGAGGGGGTTGTTGCATATCGTGAGATTGATCCGTTTTCGTGTGAGTGGCCTGATGATCCGCATGATGCTCTCCGTATTTTACTGTATTGATCACGCGGTTTATTTTGCTGGCAGGGCAGCACTCGTTTAGCCTAGGGTTCGTGGTGCTAAGAGGGTGATGTACTCTTAAAGGCTATTTTCTTGTGGTAGTGGTGGTATGGCTTATCATAAAGATATTTTTAAATTTCAAGAAGCAAGCGAAAAGCATCCTTTGCCTCTTTCTCCTCTGGAGAGCAGGGGACAGAAGCGTTGTGGGTATCGGGAGTTAGCAGCTACGAGCGAGGCGTGCATCAGCGGAGTGAGCTAATGCCTGCGTGTGCTTGCATCAAGGGAGGAAAGCAGGCGGGCAGGAGGACAAGGAGAGGCAGCAAACCTGCTGCCCAGCTGAACCCAGTGCAAGGATGCCAGGGGATTAGTCACATAGGAACAAGCAGAAACAGGGAAGCCCGGTGCCCTCACCGCCATGTTGATGGGAGATGCTGGTAGTGTGAGATAATGAGGCGGAGGAAAGGAGAGCATCTGGTCAAGGTCGCTCAGAGGAGGGCTGAGAAGGCCGCTTTAGCTGGGTTCAACAAGTTGTGCTGCTCTAAGGTGCCAGTCAGTGAAGGAGAGGGGGGCTGGTGAGAAGCATCTCCGGGATAATGAATGCTGCTGTTGCCTGTGGTCAGAGGGGAGGGGTGGTGGCTTGAATTCCTTGACGAGTTATAGACCTCAGCCTTGAGCCTTTGGATAGGATGGGTGTAGCTGTACTATTTCTGAGCTCCCTGTTTGCCTTTTGGGAAGTGAGGCGCTTATGGCAGTAACAAATGATCCATGCACTACATCATGTCTGGCTCACTGGAGGGGATGGGTCAGGCCATGTAATGTCTAGGTGGTATGAGACTGGGTTGGAGATGAATAGCAGGCAACAGCCAGGAGCAGAGAGTATGAAAGAGAGGGTAGAAGAACTAACCACATGTATGTACTGTGTAGGTAAGGGGTACCCACAAAGCAGGTACCCTGTGGGCTCTGCTGCACCCAGAAGAAAAAGGCTAGCTGTGACCACTACAAGCCATGACAAAGCAGAGCCCTGGGGAAAAGATGCTTTTGTGTTGAGTCACTGTTGAAAACGTGGAAAGAGCTGGGTTTTGTCTTCAGTTTTGCTGTACCTGCTTACTATAGGGATTGCCTGGAGTCCTAAGGGTTACTAGATGTCTTAATGTCCTTTTACAGGCATTCAGCTGCTTTGAAAGAGCTGTGTCCTTGTGGTTCTGTGGCAAACTTCCTTGCAACAGAAATGAGGGAAGCAGTCACGGAGTGGCAGGGAGAAGGCCTGGACTTGCTAGGGTGTGTCCAGGTGTGAACGGTACCTTAGGAATCATCTGTCCCTTGCAAGGAAAGGACCTTGTCCCCTTTGTCTCCATCACTAAACTCATGACTGAGGCTCAGACTGAGACAGTTATGTGATGTAGGTGGGGGAAATTCATGTGTGAGAGTACCTTCCCCAGTTTCTGTTTACTGGGGCCTAACTTGTAGCTGTGTGAAGCTTGTGTAGGCCAGAAGCACCTATATGCTTGGCTTGAAAGCTTGGTAGAGGTGGTGTGAGCACTGGCAGATGGTTACTGGTAAAAAGTTAGGCCAACCTTGGGAGCCCTTGCTCCTGGAGCTGTGCCAGCAAACAAGACTGGAAGAGCTGTGACAGTAGGCCTCATGGAGAACTTTCCTCTCCCCTGCTAGCCTTAGGACAATAATTGGAAAGCCTTGGAAAAGGGACTTAATATTTTTGGAAAAGCTTCCAGTCCCTCCTGAGACAGAAACATGATCTTTCCAAATTGTGCCAACTCAAGCACTGGCTGTCTAAGTGCCAGCTCCTGAGTCACCTGCTTCCCCCACGCCTCCCTAACACAGAGCTGGCTTAAATGCCACAAGCTTTAAAACTGTAGAAAATGTCAGATGCTTTTCACTGACACATTTCTCAGTCTGTGGGACTTCTGAGGTTGGACGTTCAAGCTTCCTTTATGGCTCTGAGGGCTCAGCAGGTTTTTTTATTTTAATTTAATAAATAGAGATTCACACACACACAAATTCCAGGGGCTGTGCTTCATTTAAAATACCAAGTATTGCCAGAGCATCGAGAAATAAACGGGAAAGCTGGCAGCAGTGCTGCTGCCTCTGTGAGACAGGCTGCTGTGCCAGGTGCCCTGGGGCAGGGTTGGGAAGCTCTAGCCTGGGAAAAGCAAGCCTGTTGCTGAATAGTGCATGTTTTAACTGTTAGGAGTGACTGCCAGTATAGCTCCTGGACAGAGCTGAGATTCATTTTATGGGAACTTGTCAGTTGGCATGGAGAAGAGTTGGAACCCTGTTTGAAGACATGCCAGAGATCAGCAAAAGCTTTTCTGTAAAGCAGATCAACCCAAAATAACAGCCACTAATGCAGCCAGTGTATTCATTACTAATGAGCTGAGAATAGTTGATGAAGGTCAGGCGGTAATAAAGGGGGAGGTCTTGACTGGCCCTTCTAGTCACACATCTTTTTCCTGCTGTACAGTTGAGTTTCTCTTTCCAGGGTCTCTGTTACTGGTACCCATCCTTGCTTGATAAAGGCCAATTCCCTGCCCTTGATGCACTTGCACATGACACCTATGAGCTGCACTTGCTGTTTTGCTGAAGGGAAACTTGTGTAGAAAGCATGAATAACCAAATTAACTAAGTTGTTTTCTCTCTTTCTGCAGAAAATCACAGCACCCCTTATCTATGCTGTTTCCATTGCTGCTATTGGATCTCTCCAGTTTGGGTACAACACTGGTGTCATCAATGCTCCTGGGAAGGTGAGAGAATGAATTGGGGAGATGGTTTGAGTTGCTGGGCTGATGAGAAAACAAAGATGTAAAAAGGAGAGGAGCTGTCTCCCAAGCAGCTAATAATTTGACCCTGGTCTATGAAGTCAAGAAGACATTCAAAACCCGCTCTCACTACAACAATGGACACGAAGGGCCAAGTTTCGGAAGGGGAGAGAGCAAGGAGATAGGTTAATTCTCTTAATTAGGAGTGCAGAAGGGGTCCATCTGCCATTTCCTGGTAGCTCTGTATTTGGTGCGTGGAGGAATGTGAGCCACTTTAGTTTTGAGTAAGAATAACCCAGCCATGACAGAAGGAATGTAGACAGCAGCGTGCAGAAAAGAATACACAAGAGAGAGAGAGGGTTGGTAGGGATTACAGTTGTTCCAGTTGAGTTTATCTTGGGGACCATCTCAAGGACCTTTCTTAACTTGTTTATTCATTCTTTGTGTTAAGTGTAGAGTTGTGACTGGGGCACTCTGACCAAATCATCTCATGACTGTAGCCTAAGACAGAAGAGAAGAGATTAAGAAAATGAGAAATGTGGTTTTCTTGTAACTGAGATGGTTCCTCTCTCTCTGGAACTGAGTCACCAATACCACATCCACCCCATCTCCCGGAATAGATGTCACATCACAAGTCGGGGGGGG